CTTAAAGCCCGTATCAGACTACGCATTGAAAATTGAAGATTGAAGATTAAAGATTAAAATTTGACTAATCAGAACAAAAGAGACTAAAATTTCTTTGTCCTGATTGGTCAAATTTCAATCTTGAATCTTGAATCTCAATCTTCAATGCGTAGTCTGATACGGGCTTAAGGCTTAGGGCTCTTACGACTGCATTGTAGACCCCGCATCACTCATTCATCAACACTTGGTCTAGATATACTATAGTCGCCATAGACATAGTATTGGCAATTGGCATCCCTGCTTCACACCCTCAGTCTTCTCTCTGGTCTTACGAAAAACGGCAGCGTGGCGACTTTCAGTTTTCTCTCTGTTTGTACTATGTCTAATGTTATGGAATTTTCTTCTTGCTTACATCAAAGTCCAAAATCTGACAAGAGCGATGAAGAACGATCAAAAGTTAAACGACAAAACAGTGGTTCTGCTTCTGAATCAGATACAGAAAGAACTGTTAAACGAATTAAAACGATAATAAACTCAGATTCTGAAAACGAGACGGCAGATAAAGAGAACAGCGTTGCTCCAACCGCGGACGCATTATTCGGTGATGCAAGTGACATTAGTACGGACGACGAGAAGGACAAGAAGGAAGAAGAGAAAGAGAATGAACGGAGCCGTAGTCGGAGTAGGAGTAGAAGCAAAAGTCGTAGCAGAAGTAGAAGTAGCAGTAGCAGCAGCAGTAGAAGTCATAGTCGTGGCAGATCCGACAGCGGTGGGGAAGGTCCGAGTCATCGCGCCATCATCGAAGATGTAAGTTAACGAGGCGAGACAGGAAAATAATTTTTACATCCTTTCGCAATGAGTTTTCAGGACGCGACTTATTTTTAATCCGAGGTGAGAAAAGCGGGCTTTGACGAGAAGCGCGGATGTTCTAACGTTAAACGTATTTTATGCGTAGGAAAAAGATAAAGACAAAGAAGAAGAACCAGAACTGCCTCCAGAAACTAGAATCGATGTAGAAATTCCGAAAATTACTACTGATCTTGGACGTGAAATTCACTTTGTAAAGTTGCCGAATTTCTTGTCCGTTGAAACAAGGCCGTTTGATCACGACATCTATGAGGATGAAATCGACGAGGAAGAAACTCTGGACGAGGAAGGACGAGCGCGATTGAAGCTCAAAGTTGAAAATACATTGAGATGGAAAGAAACGTTTAACGACGATGGCAAAGTAGTGAAAGAGAGCAATGCGAGATTCATCAAGTGGTCGGACGGTAGCATGTCGTTGCATCTGGGTTCGGAAATCTTCGACGTATACAAACAGCCTTTACAAGGCGATCATAACCATCTTTACATTCGCCAAGGTACCGGTTTACAAGGCCAAGCGGTGTTTAGAACAAAATTAACTTTCCGACCGCACTCTACCGAATCATTCACGCACAGGAAGATGACTATGTCTCTAGCTGATAGATCGCAAAAGACTTCTGGCATCAAAGTTCTTTCTCAAGTGGGAATGAATCCAGATCAGAACAGATATGAGATGATAAAGGTATTACAATTTCTTTATGCATTAAATTAAACTGAGTCCTGCACACTCTTTTGCTCCAATATTTTATTGTATCTTTTTTCTTTGTTTTAGAAAGAAGAGGAAAAACTACATATGGCTACACGAGTCCAAAACAAAACGAAGAAGAGTACTAGTGGTATCAGGAATGCTAACCGTACTGTAGGAGCATATGGTGGCAACGCTTATCATGATAATGCTTCTGATGATGAGGGTGCAATTTCATTGGCAGCCATAAAAAATAAGTATAAAAAGGGAATCGCAGCAATTCCTTCTAAAGGTTAGTTCTGTGTACTATACTAGAAGAAATAACTTCAAAATGCATCATCTATTTCTTTATATCTCTTATATAAAATCATGTTAGATTGATTTATTCTGTATATTAAAAACAATATTGCGCAATAATTTTTTTGTGCAATCTTTCACTGTTAATGTTTTAAAAGACATGTGGGATGGATGAAATCGATTTCGAAATCTGCTATTGATCAATGCCATGTATTATTTCAATGCAAATATTAGACGTTAATTTATTCTTACTTTAATTCTCAGATTGGAATTCATGCCTATACAATCATAATGAACACATCTCTGGCTGGTAGAACAATTCCGTCCACACATACCTCTCTTAGAGGTAAAAGAAAACGCACTTTATTGGAAGAAAGTGAAGAACGCAGCAATAGTGATTACAGCATTACAAACACTGCTAAGGGTGATGTAGAATTTGTAGAAGTGGATCTCCAAGGACAAATTGTGGAACTCACCACCCATACAGCATGAAATATTTTTAAAGTATTTTAAAAATATTTTTTAGGAAGTTTAAAATAATTCACGAAAATAGTTTTACAATGTTCCTATGTCCGCCAGATCATGTTGAAAAAATATTTTCAGAAGATTGCATACAAATATATTCAATAATATTTGTAAAATCTTTTAGAAATAGTGCCTTCGGAAAATAAAATATGTTTAAAAAGGCATATAAAATATTTCAAAAATGTTTTTGTATTGTAATATTCCTAAAACATTTTTGAAAAAAATTAAAATTCGTAAAATCTTTTAAAAATATTTCGAAAATATTGTCAAAACATTTGATGTTAAATAATTGGCTGCGTTCAGCAAGAGTTTTCGATAGTTATTTTTTGTTCTTGATTTCTTTCAGTAATTAAAATGGCTGCGTTTAGCAGACAAAGCAGCTCAGTGAGCTGTCAGAGATTCTTTAATATGATTAGTTCTTTGTTGGATCTAAGTGTAGAAGTGTAGAAATTATAATACAGAATCACTGAACGCTCACTGAGCTGCTTTGTCTGCTAAACGCAGCCATTGTAATTACTGAAAGAAATCAAAAAGAAAAAGTAACTATCAAAAACCCTTTACTAGAATGCAATAAATTATTATTCAAAATTACTTATCTGGTTAAATTACTGTGTAGGAGTATTTTGTAAAATAAAAAAATACAAAATTCGATTGAACTTATATTTATTTATTTTTTCTACATTTTCTATTTTAATCTATATTTATTATTTTAATCTATAGAAAATTAACTGTAGAAAATACCAAAATCTTCATTAACAAAAACTAAATACATATATACAGGGTGTTCCAGGAGGAAAGGTCAATATTCTGGGAGGTGATCGTATCGGTCATTTTAAGCAAAAATGTTCATATGAATATATGTCCTATTACCCACGGTTTCCGAGATAGAGCAACTTGAATGTACAGTTGCAAAATTACTGACAAGAAATAAATACTACGTACTATTTCTAATATTTATTGTTCAAGTGATACATTTTTTTTTTTGTGTTGCTCGTCTGAGTACATCGTGACGTTCCTTTATGTGGGCACTAGCATCCATTATTTGAGCGAGCAGTTCGTCTCGTGTATTTACTTTTCTTCTGTACACTTCACTGTACAGGTTCACGGATGAAGGTTGAAGTGTACAGAAGAAAAGTGAATACACGAGACGTACATTCAAGTCGCTCTATCTCGAAAACCATAGGGAATAGGAGACATATATTCATATATGAACATTTTTGCTTAAAATGACCGATACGATCACCTCCCAGAATATTGACCTTTCCTCCTGGAACACCCTGTATAATATAATCTATATATATTTTTTATATTTTATCGATTTATATTATCAAACATGCGTGTGCGTGCGTGCGTGTGTTTTGGCAGAATAACTAAATAACTTCAATGTATAATGCAAGAAGAAAATTCTAAATGTTTTTGCTTTATGGAAAAGTTTGCTTGTTTATAAATATAAAGACAAGCTTATAAATATATATAAAGCTTATAAATTTATTTTACAATGAAGTGAACGATACAAAACTTGGAAGGCATGCCTAGAGTTATACGCAAATAATAATTATTGACCATGGATGAGTGGAAAGATGATAACATTTTTGTGATGGTCTTCAAATTGGTTGGATTCGTCAAAAATCGGGAGAATCACACCTTTATTTTTAATACTTTTAATTGAAAATGCTTACAAGCTACCATATTTGCCAGAAAATTTAATAATACCGAAGCATGTCGACAGTGCTGGTAAACGAAAAAATGGTTTCCCATTTTTTAATTTTTTGCCAATAACTAGTATGGAATTATTGCGATGGCAAATAGTTTCAATCATTACGATGCTTTCATCTGCCATGATACAGTAGTTGTTCGGTCTTTTTATCGTGATTTTAAAATTCTTGAATTGAATATCTTTGTGCATAGGCGACGTACATCCATCTATTAACCTTCCATTGTAGCATTCCCTTCCTAGTTTATATGTTTTAATGCTGGTATCGTTAACGGATTCAATGCAATGGCTATTTCTAATCTCATATATACGGTTACTTAATTACTCAAGAGGTTTATCATTACTTCTGATCAATTTTTTTATATGCTGTAAATGATTTTCGAAAATAAATGCAGAAAATTCATCAAGTGCTCCCCACCGCAATGCATCATCGGCCAAGTGTAATAATCCATGCGTATTGTACGTTGCATTATGCAATCCGTATAATTGTAAAAATTCAGCAAAATATTCTTCTAACAAGCACTTCGCATATCTATTTTGTTCGACATCAATACCAGGAGTTGCTAGAAGACGTATAGCCACTAAGAGTTTTATAAAATGATTATATACATCAGGCTTTACTATCTTGCGCAACACGATGGATCCAATATACAACAGAAATTCATGAAATTCAGTGGCTTTCATGCGATCGAGCTCATCCAAAGCTCTCGGTTTACGGGCAAAATCATTTGAAACATACTTTTGAAGTTCCAGCTGTCGTTTGGAAATCTCCAGAACCTGTTGAGCACTCAATTTCATAGGATTCAGCTTTCCAGTCATTATTTTCAACATTTTTTTTACTTGGCCTAATATCACTAAATGTATATATAGTTATACGGCATTTGTGAAATCATATCGATATTAAGCCTCAATAAAGGACTTATCCTGTATGATGTTGTATTTCAGATTGCGTTGCAAACGATTCTGCTGTTCGTAGCGGAGCATTCATTTCTGGATATACCACTTTTCCCTTGTACGTGCCTTTGGTTTTACACTTACTACATGCATAATATCCTCCATGGCTTTTAATGCAGCAGATATACGCTCTTGCAGGAGCATCACATATAAAACAATCGATAATAAATTTTCTGTTAATATCATTATGGATATAGCCATTTTGTATAAGATCTACTGCTTCTTCAATAAAATACTTTAAAAATATGTTAGCAGCTGGAGGCTTTTGATATCCATGAAAAGCGCCAATGAGAAGTGGTGTTTTGTTTCGAAAATTTCTAAAATTTCCAAGAATTGGCCATAATTGACTCTTGGAACTTTTGGTAAGCGGTAATCTATCTATGTTGATGGATAAATGAATTTCTTCAGGTATATATGCGGTACAGCTTGTTTCTATAATATGATGTAAGCCTTTGACAATACCAAAATGAACATATATTGACCGTGTTCCATTGGAATACTTTCCGCCTTCGTCGGAGTTTTTAAAAACGTTCGGGCATCTGATGGAAAAGATTGCATAGCCTTTTCTATTCTCAAAACTTTTAATAGACTGGTCACGGCACTTCTACAAATTTTATTAGCGTGGCTCCATTTCACCAGATTTCTTCGCAGTCGATCAATATTTATATCATTATGTTCATTTTCTGATTCCGACGAAGGATCACTATCGTATTCGTCGGATGGTATATTGTCTCCAACTATTGCTTTCTGTATGATTTCTGGCATAACTTCCTCGTGTACAATCTCTTGGATAATTTCATTTGGTGCGATTTCCGAGATAGAGTTTGTTTTATCATTGTTCACTTCTAGAAGGCAACTATTACAATTTTTGGCTGAATATACCTTTTCGTCGCTTTTATGAGCCTGTACATTATTGTCTATTTCTTGTATTGCATACTGTAAAATTCTTTGTCGATACTTACGATCGTGACGTTCTCGAACACACCCCTGGACATATTCAGGATGATCCTGAGGACGTTTTGTGCTGTCTGGGATTACAAATGCTATGTTATGATTACTTTGATTTTGTATAATGTGTTATATATAGATGTTATATTCATATTATATGTTATATGTATATATGTAAAGTTCTTGTCGAATGTTTCGTGCGTGTATAAAAAAAGTTTATGTAAATTATGGCTGCCAACGATCTACTTGACGTTACAAATGTTTCAAAGCTTTTCTCTTCTTCTTCTTTATTAAAAAAGAAAGGAATTATTAATCCTAACTTAAGTTTTCCGGCGTACACACGTTATATTCACATGTTGCATACGCTTCTCGTTTTTTACGCGCGCAATGGCTACTACATCTGTAATTGGTTGTCGAGCGACTCTCGCGTTCACGGTAGTGTCATGTGATGCCATAATTGACCCTGATTGGCTCATGCTAGAAAGCGACCTGTACCCTGTACCGGCAATTGCTCGTAGCAACAATAAGTTGAACATTGAATTATGAAGCAAGACGGCGCATATTTTGTGTGTATCTATATATTATATTGTATTTACAATACATATAACTATAGATTTTATTTTGATCAATATGTCGTCAAATACTGGAAAATAATAAACACTAACTTTTACTTATATAATGAATATTAACTATTGAATTTTGGACTTCAAATTATTGTTAGAACTTACAAGGAGAGATCGCAGTTAACTCTTCACCGATTTTGATCTCCTTTTTTGTGGTAAATCTTCATTGAATATAGTTAAGCCCTGTAAGAGCTTTTCGTCCAATGCGCCTTGTAAGTAGTATTTTTTTATATTTGAAATTTGGAGAAATTTTAATGTAGGTTGTAAGACATAAAGAAAGACACTTTATCGAACAGTGCCGTTGGCGCAGGGAGTAAACGCGCTTACTACACTAATAGCGAACCAGGTTCGAAACCAACCTACGCACATACATCAATGTTCTATGGGACAATCGATTTTATGCTGAAATCCCCAAAAAGTTTGAAAATTACAGTTTTTCTTATCTATTTTTATCCCAATAAGGCGTCTACAGTTGTCGACTCGTAACAATATTTGATTGTTATAAATTTTCTGCAAGTCATATGTATAAAATAAACCAATCCCATAGAATAGACTGTACAAAATAACAATATGTAATCGTTAAAATTGAACTTAAAAGAATAATATAAAAAAATGGAGTTGATGAAAATTTGTGTTTATGTGTATGTGCAATATTTGTACGAAAGAGTAAAACAGAGCAGTAGATTAGTTGCGTGATGTCGCGATAGACAGAGCTGCAAT